GTCAATTATTTTGTTGAGTGTGTGTGTGTGTGTGTGTAGTAGACAGTTATTTTGAAAACTGAAAGTTCAATTTGACCCTATTGTTAATTTGTCCATTACATCTTCATAGCCTGTCCCGATGTATTGAAACGGTTAATATAAATGCAAATTATGAAGTCTAGTAGCTGGCAAATTCAGTTTGAAGGTGTATTTTGTGATTTTGTACACAGTTTTTCACATGATCGAATGTCACTGTCAACAATATGACGAGTGTTGTAACCAAACGTCACTTTCTTCATTTGCTATTGTATTACGATAGCTTACCTCCGGTTAATTGAGATGATTCGATTTATGATTGCAGTGACCGATTTGTATGACTCGTAGTTATGAAATACGTGTAACTTTCAGTGTTGTGTACTGTGAATATTTACTTTTAGAAAGAATAATCTGTGAACATTGGGATAGAGAATTCACACGGAGAAGTCACCTTAAAGAACATTCGAGTTAAACATGAAGGTAAGTTTTTAAAAGATATTCAATAATTGTCTCGTTGCATGATAACATTTGTTTTTGGCGAGCAATGAAATCATTTTGAAGAGTACGAAACAGTTAGCCAGTCAGGTTGGAGATGGATAAATTCGATGTTATGGAAAAGTGTCAAACACATGTGGATGAGCTGAGTGATAATTAAGGAGTCTCCCAGAATGTGTAGTTTTTCTGTATAGCGTCGTTTTTATGCTACCAATAATCTGTTACTCTTTGTACTTTGCAGTCTAACATAGGTAGTTCCCCAATTTCATTCTTTATCTCCATGGTGAATTTTATTGAGTCGACATGACTGTTTATGTGTGTGGGAAGAATTTCTCGAAATCGTTCTTTTTCATTATTACTAAGGTGTCGTCTACACATCTTCACCAACATTTTATTGATGATGGCTTGAATGGTCTAAGTGCGTTCTCTTCCCAACAATCGATGAATTTGTCAGCTATTATCGGCTACTGCTTCATTTCGTTGGTTTATTTTCCTTGAAATGTAAAATATGTTGTTGTTAGACAGAATTCAACCCCCTTTTATTATCACCTCTTCTACGGATAATTGTGTCCTGTCTTTTAGGTCATCATCTGCTTTCAGTCTCGTTTTCAGTGCATTCATGGTCGTTTGAATGGGTATTATAGTATGAAGACTGTTTACATCAAAGCTGACTAGTATTTTTTCTTCGTTCTGCTTTAGGATGAGAAAAACTTGTAGTCCGGATTACGTTGGCTTTCCTTGGTAAAAGCGACGCTCGCAGGAAACGTTTACCCGAGCGGATTGATTGACTAAAACACGAAAGGTAAGTAGTTGAAATTGGTCATCGACTCAGTTCCAGAGATAACCATATTCATGGAATTGGAATCCATGTCCCAACAGCATGGTTATACCGGTTGAGGAAGGAAGCGTGTGTGGAGCTGTATTCTAGAACACCTGCTCGACTGCTGTCACTCCACCAACTCTGAACATGACTTTGAGATCATCTGTCAAGTTCATGCTAACTTGGACTCGGTCGCGTTACCATCGTTATAAATTTCAAAAGACAGAAGAGGCTTTGACATTTCGTGAATTTAAGCCAGACGTTTGTGTACAAAAGAAGCATGTACAATCCCTACTTCTGTCTTGGCCGTAGAGGGATAGACATTTATTTATTTATTTTCTATATTTTATTTGTTTTGTCATTCAATTATTCTATGTACGTTTCCGACATTTTTGCGATTATTGTTATTGTCATTACGATTCTCACTTCCAATTGTCTCCACTTATCTCACTCGACATTCTAAATCCAAAAATATTTTCGCAATGTTGAATCGTATCTTGTCAAATTTCATACCATGTTATGTAGTGTTTCATAGCAGCCTACCGGCCCTGAAATGATACACCCCTTTCGAACACCTATACATCTTATGAATTATTGTACATATGAGATTAATTGTTTTGCCACCTGCCACTTGACTGACATTTAACTATGATTATAATCACAAATATTTTAATTGCATTTCATACTACTATTGTTGTTATTATTGTTTCATGTCTTCACGCATTTGATTGAATTCCCTCACGATATATGATTTGCTTTAAAAACTTTATGTATACGATTGTACAACTTGATGGTAATCTCGTTGAATAGAGTCCGTTCGCTGAATATCGCGTTCTTAATGTCACAGTGTGAATTATTAAATTAACGTATGATTGTTTGTCTGTTTGATTCTGCGGTGGGACTAAATTTCCAGCAGGCACACGTAGACATACGCACGCACGCACACACACACACACACACTCCTAATCGTCGCCTTGTTCGACTACTAGGCTGTAGGGACTCAGGATTTGAGGATCGGTTAGGTTAGGGTAGGTGAAGAGAGAGAGAGTGGTGAGCAATCCCAATCTATAGAAATGACATCATAACTAATAAGAATTCACAAATCTTCAAGCCCTATCTTCTAATTGACGTGCAGAGGAAGCAGTATTTATATGAGGTCATCATATACAGACGGCTAGCTCGTTGTAGGGGACAGATTCCAAGTGAGAATAGTCTATCCAAGGCAGTGTTTTGGTTATTCTCACAGCTGTAACCTGTTTATTTGTTGTTTCAGTCTTTCGGAGCACAGTCTATACAGAGTGAACTGTGAGTTGTCACAGTGAATCGACTGTTCATTGGTCATCATCTTCTTCTTACGTAAATAAACCCAACACAAAACCTCCCGAATCTGGAACTATCCCACCACATACACACTCTGAATTCCTGATATCTGAATATTTTTACATTGTCTTTTCTTTTCGCGAAGATGCGCTAAGAAATATCCTAATGTTCGTTAAAACTAACACCTTTGTAGATATTCATCTGAAAATCAAGTTGTCTCCGATGGACTGTGATAAGAAGCGCTCAGCTTGCGCTGCACACCTGTTCCAATACAGTTGTGTTTCCGGAGATTACAATTTCACGTCCAGTAGTGTTCGTGTGGACTAACCGTACGGTGATGATACTTGCAGCTCCCACAGATCATTCTGTATCCATCAGAAAGAATGTGTGATAACTGTCAGTGAGAAAGATTGAATCACTTTGGTTATGATTTGCTTGATTGTGTGTGTGTGTCCAAGTGTGTGTGTGCGTGTGCGTTTCTTAGCACTAGTCATCCACCGAGAACTTGTTGTAAATCTCCCGAGTAATTGTTTGACGTTTTCATTTCCTTGCTGATTTGTAGATAGTGAGTCCACGAACTATTACTACTTCTATTGCAATTATTATTATCATTATTAATATTATTATTATTATTGTTATTATCTTTCTCCCCTATATCATTGAAAGCGTTAATTTCAATGTTTCGTCAAATATCGAAGATTGGATCGCAAATCTTCTCTTTGCTTGGACGGAATCAAGGTCCTTCGGAGTCTCAAAACAACGCAAAGGATATTTCGACGGAAACGGACGAGTCTCGAGACGACTGTTCATGTAGACATGAAAGCTTTGTACGGTATGCCTCTGATGATGAGACTAGTTCTGGTGAGTTCTCACGTTTTGAAGCAGAATCTTCTTCACTACTTGGAGAAGTGATATGGAATTCATTGCAGACTGTTTACTGGAATTAATTCATTCCAGACGTTATGCTGGGAAATGTGTGTGAATTTTAAGTCAGGTGAACAAACATCCGGCCGATAGTTGTTACCTTGACATGGTGGTCGAGCTTGCATATCGCACTGACCTAACAAGTTACACTGGCTGGAACTAATGTTCCTGCAGGTCCGAAGATGGCAGGAAGATTGTTTAGGTAGGGACTAGACTAAAAGCGGTTAGCGGCTTAGTGTAAGCTTTTCTGTGGACAACCAAGTGTGCGCCACGTGTTTCGGGAAATTAAGGTGACATCTGATGCCAGATCGAAATGAAGACGAATAGGTTTGCTGTTAATAGATAGCGTAGTGTACTTGCGTTTGTTGGTGAAATGGACTCTGTAAGTTGTGAAAATGGTCTGTCTTCGAGAAGATTGTTTCGTCTTGAGGGGACTACTTCTTCTGTTACTCACCGAGGAATTTTTCTGTGGTGGACAGTAACCCTGTTTATGTCGAAAACGGCGACACTTGAAGCACTTATGTTTCTTGAAAGGACAAAACTTGACAAAATGCCATGAACCACAGTACCAGCAGACTGACGGAGGTTTAGATGAATTTCGAGACTGGCGTGCTGTGTGCTTAAAGGTGATCGAAGGAGTTTTCACTGTGTTAATTGAACCGAATTCAGGCGACCGTGGTTCGCACTCCATCATGGCAATGTCGTACTTGAAGTTGATGAAGCGTTGGTATTTTGCTGTCACCGTTTGTAAAGTCATTTTCGGGTCTTGTTTCACGAGTAACGGAAGTCGAGTTCTTATGACAGCATCTTCTGGGTTCTTGAAACCACAAGTAAAAATCAACCAGCCAGCTCTGCTGCCTGTGCACTCTGACAAGGGAGGGTTAGAATAGGTCGGTCTGAAGATTTCGACATCCGACTTACCCTAGGGTGATCCGTAACTGGCGTTGAGTCACTGTTGCGAAACCAAAGCTAAATGTCAGTTCGGACAGGCTGTGTGTGACCAACCAGCCTCAGGTAGTTGTTCTCTGGAGTATTTCACGTCAGGAACCTTCACCAGATCGGACATGAGGCGTCATTAGCTAGTATTCTGGCATCTCAAGCAATGGATGTATGTTGTGTTTCTGAGACACGCGTACAAGACCCGGGTGTGTTTGGTTATTCACTAAAGCTCACCCGGCCAACAAGGTGGATCTGCGAAATTCACTTTAAGGCTGTCAGGAGATTCCTCAGCGAGGACTCACAGGTGTAGGAATAGCGTTGAATATTAGGGTTTGAGAATCACTCCTTGACTGGGTCCCAGTAGAGTGTCGTATGTGTGCGGTCTGTCTGGGCAGGTCCATTGGAAGAGGGAAGGATGGCGTTACCCGTCTTTGTCTTTGCATAGTCTCACCACCGCTTATTTCAGACGTCTCACACAATGGCTATTGAATTGTCTTTGAGCACACAAACACACTGTGACCCCTGAAGATTGGTCAATTATAAAACATTTGTATTTCATATTGTATTGTAGTGGACTAACAGTCATCACAAGAATTCCATTGCTTTCCTACTCGGCAGGTAATTTACCAGGCAAATTCCAAGTCTCCGATGCTGAGTCAAGTATGAGACCAAGCAACTTCGAGTTGGATAAATCGTAAGTATAAGTCAGTGTTTACATATATATATGTATATATATATGTGCATATATATGTATATATATACATACATATATATATATATATACATGGATATATATAAACATATACATATATATATTCACAATACTCACGTCATTTTGATGCAGCGCAATCCGATTTCCCTGTACAGCATTATACCTACGGAGACGTTGTGATGCATTCACTCGTTGTAATCTAATCTCCCAGATCCATTAAACCGTCATGCACTGCCATATTACTATTCTTTCTCACGTACATTTCTGTCCATCAGAATTGTTTGAATGTCTCTGTTTTTACTCTGTTGCATTGTCTACCATTGTATAGTATATGGAGTGAGTTGTGTGTCAAGTTGAAGTACTGTACTCAATGCTGTGCAGAAGTTCTTTGTTGAGATAGATAGATAGATAGATAGATAGACAGACAGACAGACAGTCAGTCAGTATGTATGTATGTATGTATGTATGTATGTATGTATGAATGTATGGATGTATGCATATATGTATAAGTAAACACAGCAAGTCAGAGGAGTGGAATGGAAGATTTGTAACTGTCAAACAGTGTGATGGGAGAAATTGATTCCATTTCAGTGGATTAACAAACCCCAATCATCAATCACTATGATGAGTCTAGTTGTCGAATAAAGGATGATGGTTCTGAGGCAGTTTAGAAATAGGCTTCATCGTAGTTATTCTCTTGCATCCTTTTGAATAGACAAATCATGTCTCATAATGGTTGTATATAGACGTGAGTTAACCGGTATCGGGTGATGAGCAGTATTTATGCTCTGTTGACTGATGATGATACTACCTTGACATTTATAAATGTATCACCGCTTTTCTACTTCATTCAAAGTGAAGCAATTCAACACGTCCCAAACATGCACACAGACACACACGCATAAACACACTCGGATAAAGAGAATCATATGGGCAGTGACAATCACAATCATAATAGCATCATCGAAAGTGAATCAATCCTCAACACAAATACGACCGCCTCAAATGAATGCTGCATTCTAGAACCCAAGGCATTAATCAATTCAGTCAAACTGCAAGATAAGCTGCACAAGTACAAGCACACACACGCACGCACACGTAGAATCGAACATGAAGGCACGCCTAGTACACCATCAACGCCGACATGATGATGATATCCGATTGAAGACAGACAATGGCGACTTGGTTCATTGGCTCATACAACATTCGGATTTCAGGCGAAACATCCTGGGTTCGAATTCCGCCACATCTACTACTGGGTAGTATTAGAAGCAGTAGAATGATCAACCCCTACAGAAAACAACTCCATCCATAATGAAGTTATAGTCTACGAAAGTGCCGAAGTTTTATACTTATACCTTACACAATAGTCGTGTGTGTGTGTGTGTGGCTGCCTGGCACATGAAGGACGTGTTCTGTGTCACTCAAGTCAAACACTTACATTCATCAAGTTTGTCTGTCTGAATAAATGACGAAATGTGAATGGAGAAAGAATCCTCTGATCTATCATTCCCTTCAAAGTTGACTGGTATATTATTATTATTATTATTATTATTATTATTATTATTATTATTGGATTTCTCTGGCCTATGAGGTAAGAATTCAACTAGAGTATGCATTGGTGAATTGCATCTTCAGCCGGATTCGGAGCTTAGTTTATTAGCTTCGTTGTGGTTAAGTGGAGTAGTGGTGTGGTGGTGTGGTGGTGTGATACAGACAATGTGTGCCAACGTAATATTATTCTCACATATTCCCACAGTTCAATTCGGCATTAGCAACAGAACACAATACATCCATTTGAAGATTCTATTTGATGTTAGAGACAGAATACATTTCCCACGGTTATATACTGCATTAACAAAGAATACTATGTATTTTTGAACATACCACTAGTCGTAATAGCTTCATTGAAGTTGATTGCTAGGTGAATGCCATTCAGGGTGGACAGAAAGATGGTTTCAGAATGTATGAAAGATAGTGTAACATATTGCTTGGAAAATATGTAGCTGGTCGATTAGCCCAGCAGTACATAAAAATACCTGTACTGAAGTGAATTATTGAATATTTCGTGTCACTGATGATGGGAGGAGATATTTTCTCACGTACGCATCTCTGTGGTGTAGACGTATGCTGAAGCTTTGTCCGCGTATCACTCGCCCTGTCTCACTCTTCGTCTTCATTATTTCTAGATAGGGTTTAGAGAATTTGGAATTCGGTGTTTTCTTATCTAGTGAGCTATTAGAGCAGAATGAACTCTACTCTACTCACAGTCAGTGTTTTTGTTAACAGGATATCATCATCATCATCGTCATCATCATCATCATCATCATCATCATGATCATCATTGGTTGTGGAGATAATGTACTAGCTATTTTGTACACCATTAATTTCAGGCTTACATTTCAATATTTGTTCCCAATGTTTTCTTCTGTTCAACAGTGATTTGGTTAAGTCAGTTCGAACAGAGGAATATTCCAATTTCACGACTGAAAATATATCAGCTGATATGTCTAGTCAATTAAATAATAATAATAATAACAATAATAATTATAATAGTGCATCCACAGAAAGACGTCAAAACAGTCAGAGCTGTAGAAAGTTAGAAAGTAACCAACCTGGTGTATGTGAGATTGTTCAACCTTCTTCTTCATTCCAAGATCCAGATCCATCGTCGTCGTCGTCGTCAAATGCGACACTTTCTGATGGTGTTTCTCGAGACAGCGACTGGCGTATCTGGGCTACGCAACTTTTAAATGACAGTGAGGCAGTTGTCAATATGCTGCAGAAAGAGAATGGAGGCTACAAGTGAGTGTGAATGTTTTCTATCCTGATTATCCAGTTTCAGTGTCACTTTGTGTAAGCAAATGTCAATTGTTGGCTTAGTTAGGTCTTTGAAATGAACTTTGTTTACAGTGAGAGTTTCTTTCTAACATATGACACACATTCTCACCTGTTGAGGAGTGATTACATGATGGACAACAAAGACATTGAGGTGAATGTGGCATAAGAGTACAGTCTGTTTTGTTCATATTGCCTACCTACACCACATACATTCTTAGGTGGAGAATGTGAACAGGGAATTTCGACAATATGACACGTATTGCTTGAGTTACTGCACGGGATGGAGTTGTTAACGAATTCGCATATTTTCAGATTAACTGTACAGCTTGATAACAAATTCGCTGAGAAGAATCTTCTCGATGAAAATTGTTTTTCCAATGTCGTTACAGTGGGAAATACCGAAAAATACAATACTCGCCAATAATGTTGATGTTAATGGTGATGATAGTAATAGTAATGCTAATAATAACAATAACAATAATAATAGCAATAATAATTGTATAACAGTTGAATACTGACTGATAACAGAATAGGTTATGCAATGTATGAAATCATTCATGGAATGAATCAGTTTTGTCGTTGATAATAATTATGGTGATGATAATGTAAAAGTGAAGCAGCGTACAGTTCATCGTCATCATCATCATCATCATCATCACTGTTGGAAAGATATGAAGTGTCACTGAAGAAGTAGTAACTTGCGAGTAATTTCATGTAGTTGACAGGAAGCCACAGCTGCGACTGTGTGGGTGGATCTGCCTTAGATCTCATGAACGACTGACTAGTTGGGAGTTGATATCTCGGATTATTGAATGACCTACGACTCCACACAAATCCCAAGTGCCCTCAGGTGGGCACCAACCACCAATCTGTCAGTTCACAGTTAAATCCCGTCGCTTATCACCGTTCATTCATGAGCGTACCAGTGATTCAGACAGAGGAATTCGTGTGCCATCGGATAAGGATATAAGAAATGTAGATTGATATTGACATTGCAGTTATCATCCTCAAGGAATTTCTTCGAAGGTGTACCATGGAAGTGTATTCCACATTCAGTATTGTCTAGTTAGCATGGAACAAAATCGACAGTAGTACTGTTGAATCCGTATTAGGTGTAATTTTTGGGATAGTGTTCCCTCGTCAAGTTATAAATTGGTGCGTTGAAACATGTCGTATGTATACTGGAGTCATATTGTCGTTATTTTGGTGATGCAGATATTCTTGATTAAGAAAAGTGACGAGAATGAGCTGTCTGTCTAATCAGTAATAAATCTGATGATGTACATGCATGAGTGATTTTCACTTGTAAAGAAGAACACTGAGACAAATTCCACTTTCTAGATGTTCTACTGGAGGGTGGGAGATTATTTGGCCCACTCAGGAGAAGACCAGATTTGTACGACAGTGTATGCTGAAAAGTGAAATTTGGTAATAAGACGGAGGAATTAGGTGGAGAGGATGGGCTACAGTTATTGATTAGGAGACGAACTAGGTCACCTCTGTAGTATTGCAATCGAAATAGGCTACCTGAATGAAATGCCTGTGACACTTGCTGGTGGTTGAGTGAAATATATATGTATATATATATATATATATATTTATATATGAATAAATCACGAATTGGCGAAGTTGGAATTCATGGGACATTGTGTGGGATGGCAGTGGCAGAATGGTGTGGGAGCCGGCTTTGCAGTGGAAGGGTCCTGGCTTCGAAGCCTGGTGGTGTGTGTGTGTCGCTGAACAGCCCGAAACTAGGACGAGACAGCTGTACAGTGCACTAAGCTTTCGCATTGCTTCTCTAACTGATCGAAGCTGGTGCGCCCATCTCGTAACCAATCAAACCTTCGCGAAATAACACCTGATAGTAAATGATTCATCAGGGTTGCTGAGGCAAGCCGTCGACTCTTCAGACTCCGGCGCTTGTAAACACTATTGTCCATTTCCATGTTGTATTCTCATGATGTTAACGATAAAAATCTCTTTTTCTGTGTTAATATTTCACTAGACGACATTACTTATCCAGCGTTATTTTTTGAAATATTCTACCTCAACAGATATGGGCTAACATTACGCGGATTGAAGAAGTTGGTTGATGGATTATTACATCCAATTAAAAAGGATTTCAATGAAGGAGTGATTAC